GCACACGCCCACGCCTGCTTTTTGAGCGTCGCGGCCTCGCGCGAAGCGCCGAAGCGTGGAAGGTCGAGCAGCAGAAGGCGGGGAACGCGCGCGCCCGGCCCACTCAGAAGCCAGGGACAGCGATCCACCACCCGTAGGGGATCAACCGTGCCATACGCAAACCCGGGGCAAGGACGCGGGGGGGGAAGACGCAGGGAGAAGACGAGGACGAAAGGGAAGGCCAGTACCTACAGTGCAGGCGGGACAAGACGAGGCGCAGTGGCGGCGGCAAAGACGAGACCGCGAGGGGCGAGTGACAAGGCAGGACGGGAAGCGCAGGTGCATCACATACGCGCACACACACACACACACGTACATACACTTTTTGGCGATCGCGGCCCCGCGCGACGCGACGGGGCGAAGCAAATCGAGCACAGCGAACGGGACCCCGCTCGCCGGCCTCAGAACAGGGCCGCCCCTTGTGCCATCCGGGCGTGGAGGGCCGGGAAGAAGTGAGGACGAGAGACGCGACCGACCCGACGACCGGGGGAAGGAACCCAACGCGGCACCAAGCGACGGCGAGGACAGCGACGAGGGAGGTGGCAGGCGCGCACTCAGGAAGAGCGCGGGTTACTGCCGCGGGCGAAGTGCGAGGAGAGGCGAGCGGAGAGTGGCGGAAGGGCGGAGCGAAGGAGAGGCAGGAGGCTCCACGCCTGGGCCTGCGCCCCCCGTGGGGTCGGGAGGAATCGCGGGAAGGGTGCCGCTACTGGGGGGAGGCAGCGTCGCTGCTCCCCGCCTGCGCGGCAGAGACCTCCCCTCCTCCCTGGGCGGTGTCGCGGAGAGCCTCAGGCGGGGAAGCGAGCGGACGGAGAGACGGACCTGTGGAGCAGCGAAGGTGCGAGGGTCGAAGTCGGTACCGACGTCGCTCGGGTCGGCGGCGTGCATGACGACCACTCATGCCAGCGAGCGAACGTGAAGTCGGCAACGGGGCTGCTGGGGTCAAGTAGGGCTGCGACTCGGCTGGCGAGAGCGTGCTGTGCGCCTACCGCTGCATTCATCCATTGCCACCGCTGTCCGAGGAGACCTGCGGCGGCAACGGGCAAGGCGCCAGGAATAGGGTTGAGAGTGGAGGAGGCGAGGGAGCAAGGCGGAGAAATAGGGCGGAGGTCGTAGGGGGAAATTCGCGGTCTGGAAGGTTCCAGAAATACTGCCGTACAAGATGGACGCCGAGCCAGAGTCGGTGGGCAACCCTCTGTCGACGCGAGCCGTTGGGCACTCAGCGCCGACGCAAACGGTTAGGGGCCTCCCCAGGCGGCGGGTCAGCAGGGAGAGCATCAATGCAGGAGTGCCTGTGGCCACCCTCAGGCTCGAAGCTGAGCTCCTCGACTGCTGTCAGGAAGACCTCACTCGGAGAAAGCCAGGGAGCTCCGCCAAAAGGGGGATCGCCGGCGCCGCCGAGACCCAACCTACCCGCTCGGGACCTGCCCAGAGCAGGGCAGGGGGCGACGCCGCCCGCTCCTGCGGGCGGGTTGCCCAGCCCGCAGGAGAGAGCGGCACGGGGAGAGGCGTCGGACTTGCAACCGCCAGGCGACCTGGCGCTGCAGTGGGCGGAGGAAGGTACCGTCAAGGACACAGGCGCCGTAGATCCGAGCTGTGCTGGCGAGAATGCAGTCTCCGGGGGTCTCGGCACTGGGCGAGGATGGCGGCGCTGGTGATCGAGGCAGTGCTGGCGAGGATGCTGGCGCCGACTCTCTCGACTGCGCTGCAAGGGTGCCCTCCAGACTGCCACCGGCGCCCCCGTCAACTTCAGATTCTCAGGCTTCACGGCCTGCCTCCAAATGCACTTGTCAGGCCCCTTCGCTGGCAACTAACTTCACAACCTCCCTCTTAGGCCGTGCAAGGCCGAAGACGCGAACCCGCAGAGCCCTACTGCCTTGCCGCTTCGCCGGCCGCCGCCGCAGCCTGGCGTCGCCGCCTTCGCAGCGGCAGCGCCAGCGCCCTTCGCCCCTTCGTCTGCGATGGCGTCGGTGCTACTGGCTGCGCTGGCGAAGATGCCGGCGAAGGTGCTGGCGAAGATGTTGGCGAGGGTGGAAGCGTCAGTGCTCCAGACTGTGCTGACTAGGATGCTGTCTTCGGAGCTGTCGGCTGCGCTGGTCAGGGTGCTGGCGAGGGCGACGGCGCGATTGACCTGGGTTGTGGAGGCGAGAACGCTGTCTCCGGAGCTCTCTGCTGCGCTGGGGGGATGATGGCGCCCGTGGCCCAGGCAGTGCTGCCGAGGCCGTTGGCGTCGATGCTCTCGACTGCGCTGGCGAGGATGATGGCGTCGTCGATCCAGGCCGCGCAACCGAGGATGCTGTCTTCAAAATTCTCGGCCCCGCTGGCAAGGACGATAGCGCCGTGACCCAGGCTGCGGCGACGAGGAGGATGCCGGCGCTGGTGTGCTCGACTGCGCTGACGAGGACGATGGCGTCTGTGCATCTTCGTCGCGGCGGCGCGTGCGCGAGCCATCCTGGCCGCCGCC